ACAAAGCAAAACTAAGTGGAAAATTGCTCACGCTGACTGGGATCTATTTAATTTACTTGTCAAGGAACAAACAGATAAAATCTCCTTTATGAATTCCGCTAATGAAGATCTTAACATGTTGATTAATTGTATTATAAGTTCCGCCGAAAAATGCATCGGTAAATACCATTTTGATCCCTCCAAAAAATATGTTCCGTGGTGGAATGAATCGTGTAAACTAGCTGTAAAAGATTGTAAAAAAGCATTAAACCGATATCGTAAAACTAGAAACCAAGCGGATCTAATAAATTTTAGAAAACTAAGAGCTAAATCTAAGCGAATTGTGAAAGAAAGCAAAAAGAACTCATGGAACAAATACATCAGTAGCATAACTTCCGATACACCTTCTAGTCAAATATGGACTAAAATAAAACAGATGAAAGGTAGATACACAACATACAAAATTCCAGCTCTAATAGAAGATAACAATGTCATAACTGATGACCAACAGATTGTAAACACACTTGCCAAATACTATTTGAATAAAACTAAACATGATAACAACTGTACTGGACCAACAAACATAACAAATAAATGTGTTGTACATGAGAATCCAAATTCCAATGATCATCCTGTCAATCTCCCACTAACAATCGATGAATTAGTCGAAGCTGTTAATTCCCTAAAGAACAGTGCTGCAGGGCCGGATGACATTCCATCGATATTTCTAAAACATCTACATGAAGATACACTATTAAAGTTACTAGAATTCTACAACAACATATGGCTAGGTAACCAATTTCCATCACTTTGGCGACAAGCTATAACAATTCCACTCAAGAAAAATGACACTTCTGACAATACAACTATGTCATTTAGACCCATCTCATTAACTTGCACACTTTGCAAACTCATGGAAAAAATTGTTAACAAACGCTTACTCTGGTATCTTGAAAAACATAATATTATCAATACCGCTCAATCAGGATTTCGTCCAAATCGTTGCACGATGGATAATCTTATCACTCTTCAATCCGATATCATAGAAGCATTCTCTAATAGAAACAACCTTATAACTGTCTCACTCGATATAGAAAGTGCTTTCGACACAGCATCAAGGCCGGCAATTCTAGAAAAACTTAAAGAGTCTAATTTATCTGGAAACATATATATATATATATATATATATATATATATATATATATATATATATTTGTTGAAAATTTTTTAACTAACAGAAGTTTCAAAGTCTCCGCAAATGGTAAAATGTCTCACTCATATATCCTGGAGACAGGAGTACCTCAAGGATCAGTCCTCAGCACAACCTTATTTTTATTGCTTCTTAACGACCTTAGTTCCTTAGTACAACCCCCTGTCAAACATAATATCTATGCGGATGATCTAGTTATTTACTGTTCGGGTAAAGTAACAAGCTCCACTAGCACTCTTTTGCAAAATACTATTGATAGCATCTCTCACTGGTCGAACAAAATTGGTTTCAGCTTCTCGCCTACAAAGTCTAAAGTGATTAACTTTAGCAAAAAATATAAACAAACTCTTCCACTCATAAAATTAAAAGAGCATCCACTACAAGTAGTTGAAAATCACAAATTTTTAGGGGTAATTTTCGACAAAAAGTTAACATGGAAGAGACATATAGAACAAACTAAAGCCAGTGCCTTAAAAAATATAAATCTCTTAAAATCACTAGCCAATCGACAATGGGGAGCCGAAGAAGAAGTCCTATTAAGTTTATACAGAGCCCTAATAAGATCTAAGTTAGACTACGGATCTATATTATATATGTCTGCCCCTAAAACTTATTTAAAATCACTAGATACAATTCAAAACACTTCATTAAGAATATGCCTTGGAGCCTTCAGATCTAGCCCGACAGAAAGCATATATGTCGAATCGTGTGAACCCCCTCTAAATATTAGACGACAACGTCTACTAAACTCCTATTTTGCTAAGGTTTCTGCAAACCCTAATAATATATCTTTCCAACTTATTAAAAATTTTCAATTAACAGGAGCACATAGTAGAGCTACTGCCAATTCATCACTACAATTTCTATTGCCACTCTTAGAAAATATTGACCTAAATCTCACTACCCCCATTATTCAGCCCAATACTCCACCTTGGCTAAAAATATTACCTGACTTTAACGTAAATTTGTGCATATATAAGAAAATGGAAACCCCATCGACACTCATGAAACAAACTTTTAACGACATAATTAATAGAGGCAAGTTTGATAACATAATATTCACAGATGCATCTAAAGACGAAGAAAGTGTCGGATGTGCTGTTACTTCCACAAATAACATACTAGCAATGTATAGACTACCCAAGATGACCAGTATATTCACAGCAGAACTTTACGCTATACTTAAAGCTCTAGAGGTTCCAATGCAGGGTACCAAAAACTTAGCAATCTGCACAGATTCATTATCATCCATAAATTCAATTAGAAAAATCTACACATCAAATCCTTTAGTTAATGAGATCCACGAAAGATGTACAGCACTTGCTAAATCAAACACTTCGGTTTCGATGATATGGAATCCTTCACATGTTGGTATTAAAGGAAATGAGAATGCTGACCATGCAGCAAATGAAGCACGTCGCTCTGACCTTACAGATGAAAAAGTCCAAATGTTTCAAGACATAATAATTGAAATTAAAAAGTTATCTACCTCAATGTGGCAAAATCAATGGAACAGGTGCACTACCCAACTAAAGTCTATCCAACCAAACATTTTAGGCCCTAGAATTGTTACAATGGAAAGAAAATCGAAGACCATCATTAGAAGGCTCAGAATTGGGCACACCCGGCTAACCCATGGATATCTGATGGTTCCCGAAGAACCTCCAAACTGCCAATATTGCAACTCCCGTTTAAGTGTACACCACATACTTGTGGAATGTAACCAGTACGCAGCAGCACGGATCAAACATGGTATCCACGGAAGTTTATGTGACATTTTAAAATCTAAAAACAATATGTGTAATGTGATAGAGTTCCTTAAAAACTGTAAATTATATCACCTGTCGTAATTGTATCATTTATCTATATTTCAATTTTGTAACCATCCGCTAGTGTTTTCTTTATTTTTTTTTGATATCATCTGTATTGAAATTTCTTGAATCAATATAACTTTATTGTTATTCTGTAATACAGTTCCTCGTGTCAATGGCCGCAGCAGCCGAGACATGTAATTTGAAATAAAAAAAAAAAAAAGATACTAACAAGAAAATAAATAACAATTTAAGCAATTTTTTACAAAAACGCCAAATTGTCCAATAGAATGTGTTACAAGAACTTTTAAAACTGAATTAATGAAAAGTTACTTTCTGTTACTATCGCTAGAACTCAAAAACTAATTCTAATTACTTTTACGCATATTCCATATTCCTAGAGTTTGGTGCGTTCCTCCCCACTCACCCTGTACTATATAACAAACAATACACCGATAACAAAAACTATTTACGTGAGAAGCCCACTAATTTCAAATTATAAAGTTATATACTATACTTCGACAAAAATCTAGATTACCTTTTAATGTATTAGTGATAGCGTAAGGTCGCAAGAATTTTATGTTATAAAAAGATATACTCCAACAACAAAAATATGATATCTATTACAAAGTTTAAATTTTGCGAAAATAAATATATCTGAAGATTTGTTTTTTAAAATAAATATTTCATAATAGCTTTGAATGAGACATTAAAATAAGTATAATGTAATCTGAAAGGATTTAAATTCAACAAATAAAATGTTTTGTACTCGCATTAAATATGTACAAAAAGCTTATTAACCTTCGGCTGATAACGTTATGTCTCTCGCACCGACTGATTTAAATTTTCGCGGTTTAAGCGCTGCTAATTTTTATTTCAATCTGCACCTCATAGTACCTTTCGAACGTGCTTGTATCTATTCAGTTATAGTTTAGCAAGTGGACAGCGTGTATCGTTTAATAAGAATTTTCAGTATTATACACGATTCGGTCCCACAAACCGACGTTATAGTTGCCGTTACATTTTGAGGTAAGACTAATTTTTTTGATTTTTTGTTTGCGGTATTGATTTATATTATATTTTAGGGCATACGTTTCTAATGAATTACGAGAGGGAACAAGAATGGCTGTTGCGGCTTCATGGGGAAGTTTTAAATGATTCAGAGGCAGAACCAGATGATGATGATGTGAGTTTGATAGACGACCATATTATAGAAACTATTGAGGATATATACTCTGAAGAGGAGTTTGAAAATCAACAAAACTTACCTATTCTTGAAGAAACCGCTTGTACTTCAAGAATACCCTGCCTTATCGGTAAAGATGGAACTACAAGGTGGCGAAAATATCCAGGCATTGTTTTGAAAATTATGGTGCCCAAAATTTGGAATAGTTTCAGTGATCTGTGAAAATTTTGAGAGTAAAATTTTATTTTCTCTGTTTATTAACATACAAGTAACTGATTTATGTTTTAGTGAAACCAGAATTTATTTTTTTTGTTATAATTATTTTGATTTTATTAAAAGACTGTTCATAAAAATGACACTTTTTTTTAATATCTCCTTAAAATTATTAAAATAACAAAAAAATTATAAATTTTATATATTTGTATAGAGAATAATATACACAATTATATTATTACAAATATTTATCACCTACAGCTAAATTTCTATTTTTTTTTAATTTTAGAAAAAGTCGGTTTGTTAGACCGACGTTATCAAAAATTTTAAAATGTTTCACGTTATCTGCGGAAGGTTAAAAATTTGAATACAAAACAATGGTAGATAAGTGCGAGTATTGTGGATCAACTACGTTTCTTAAAACAAGATTTGTTTTTAAAAACAATTTATCAATATAAGAACATGCCTATCCTTATAATTTTAAATATATAAAGAAAGGAAATCTACCAACAAATTCAAACATCCTAGACGACAAAATTGTTGTTTTAGAAATATTTTTCATACTCTGCATAACCGTAGACTCTATTAGGTATATACTTACCCAGTATTTTAAAATTGGAAATTCCATTTTTCAACAATTTTGTGGCCGCTGCAATCCCGGAAGCACCTGCTCCAATAATAAGAATACTTGGCGTATTTGACATAGTTCTTTCTAATCTTTAAATGTATATATAAAATATTGAAAGAAAAAGAAATACTGGACTATTAATATAGACTATTGAAAAAAATTGTCAAATTTATGATTGGAAAATCACTTTTGTATTGATAAGATTAACTAATTAGCAGGAGCGTACGAATTTTATTTTAAATTTAAGAACCAATTTTTAATTTTAAAAATAAAAACCGAATATATTTTATACCTGTCAAGGTAAATGTACTAGTGATTGGCATTATAAGAAGAAAAAAAAAACATTATTTAGCCTCAAACCTATGTTGTTGAACTTTATTAAAAAATATAAAATATGTATATTTTTAGGTAATCTAATCCTTCCTAAATATTTAACCCATTAACGCCCAAATAATTTTTTTTGCATTTTTAACGTAATTCTTTGTTTCGTAATATATTTTGAGGTACAAAATGATGTCCTATCAAAACTTTTGTTTTTTGTGTTCAAATTTTTGGAAAAACAACTGTCCTCATTTGAGGGCGCTGGGCTCAACTACTATAAAATTAAAGACAAAATTTAGTTTAACAAAATAAGTTTATTTAGTTGTTTTTCAAATTATTTTCATATTATACACTATGGAGATAAAAAATGTTTATATAAATCCTATATTTTTTTATGAAATTGTTTAAAACAAATTGATACGCAAAGCGCTACATTACATTTTTGGCAATATGTTCGTGGTTTTGACGTACAGTCTCGATTTTGACATCTTCGTTGTTTTTCCCGTTTTGATACAATGTGATTTTTACTATCATATCTAATGTCTTGACAGATATTGCTTCTTGATGTACTTGGAAGACTAAGTGGTCGACCTTTGCTTATTCTTACGCCATGACCACGTTTTAGATACGAAGTAGCTATTTGTCGCCTGTAGTCTTTGATGGATATATTTTTTTCTCCTTTATGTATCATATTATACAGTACGCACCCATTTACTATAGCCATATCTATCATTCGTGTAAAAAGACACCAATACCATTTTTTTCCTCTGACAGATATATGGTGTTTTTCTAATAGCCAGTCATGGTGATCCACGCCACCCATATGTTTGTTATAATTGGAAAAAGCGGATGGTTGGCTCACTTGTACTTTATTTTTTTCCTTCTTACTCCATCGTTGAACCTGATTGGTGGAAAAAACCGTATCATAGTTAGTTCCAACAGAAACACAATTACTGTCGTTCCATTTGCATATTAGTATTTTGTTGTTTTTGTCAAAGCACCAGTCATACGCGCCTCGAGGTTCTTTTTGTAGGTCGTTTGATTGTTTAGTAGGACACTTTGCAGTTCGGTTTTCTCTAATAGTTCCCGTAGCGCGATACCCCTTTTCTTTTAATTGGCAAAGGAGACTGTAACTTGTAAAAAAGTTATCAAAATATACAATATGTCTCTGTGGGTTTTCTACGATACTCAGCATGTTAGAAACAACTCTTGTACCTAAAGGCTCAGTTGATTCCTCTCCCGAAGCTTTTCCACAATAAAGAGCAAAATTGTAACAATAACTATTATTGCCACACAGCGCCCACAGTTTAAAACCAAATCGAATTGGTTTGGCCCTAATGAATTGTTTTAGTGAATTATGGCCGTAATACTTCACTATCATTTCATCTACTGATAGATGTTGGTGAAACACTCCCCATTGTTGGAACCGCGCATTTAGAAGATTTAGCAAAGGTCTAATTTTGAATGACTTTTCATGTTTGTTATTGTCAGCTTCGGAATTATTTGCAAAATGGATTAGATGCTTTATTTCTAAATATGCATTACGACTTAATGCATTTCTTACAAGCGGTATTTCCAAGTCTTCTTGTTTAGATCAGTAGTCCCTCTCGCTGGGTAATTGGTGGTATCCAGTAAAAATTAGAAATCCAATAAAAATTTTAATTTCTTTAGCTGTTATTGAGTAACCATGTTTATTTTTTTGCTCTGTAGCATAGCGTTGTGTTTCTGTTAGGATATGGTTGTAGACCACTTCATGAAAAAACATTTCAAAAATTTGTAGTGGAGTGTATTGACGTACCTGCCTCTTTACATTTTTATATACTTCTTTAGCACCTTCATTTTCAGTGTGTTCATATTGTGGATCCGATTTACTCCAGTTAGGTACAAACGGTTTTTTGGATTCATATTTATTTTCTTTTGGTTATTGATACAAGCGGTAAGTCATATTCATCATCAAGATTTTGATCATCTTCTTCCTCAATAAAAACTTCAGTCCCTCCGGGTATGTCTTCCACCTCAGCAACGCCTAATTCATCGTCATTGATTTCATCCTCGTCTGTTAAATCATCGAATTCGGGGGGCAATGCAGCTATATCAGCATCTATTTGTTCAGAATTTAAATAATCAATGGCCTCTTCAAGATTACGAAAATATCTTCGACTCATCCTAAAATAGAACAAAAAAACAATTAGTTAATCAAAATACCCATATAAACTTTTTACACAAAATATATGAATTTGCCCAGCGTCCTCATTTGAGGACGCATAATATTCTTATAATTTTTTTGACATTTTTTTTTACTGGACAGTCATTTTTGAATTTTTTTGTGTAAGTTGAAGTAAGTTTTGTTTTGTGTAAATTTAGCCATCTACATCCACTGAATCTGGAAACTGATAGTTTATTCTTTCTCCTGAAATGAATATCTCGAGGTTGGGGCATCCTTCTTCGTTTTAAACGATGTATCATCAAGACTGCCACCAGATTCGAGTCATGATTTATTATTATCACTTGATGATTCTTCCCTTTTGTTACTAACTATATTTTTTTTCTTCACTTTTAGTTTCTGTTTTTTAACAAAGTTTTTTGCTTCTTGAAGTAATTTGAAGCGTGTTGATAACAGTGAATTTTCCTTAAAACTAGAAAAGCCTGATTCTTAATCCGCCACAGGTGTAATGCATCCTTCCAGCCACCTTTCAAAGACCAAAATTCAGCAACATCCATTGGCTGAAGCAAATGTTTTGCATTTGGATGAAGGGCTACCAATATAATACCATGTTTAGCGCACAATTTACTAGTGTGTAATGTTAAATGTGATAAATGTCTATCAGTGAATAGAATTACAGGGCGAGAGATTTTGCTTAGTATCAACCACTTATCAAAAATATTTGTAATGAACTCGTAAAAGGTAGCTTCTGTCATCCATCTACTTTCTGACCTACCAATACCCAATTCTTCATAAACACTAAGTGCTAGTTCTTTTGGAATTGTCTCATTTTTAAATATGACCATTGGTGGTGCTAGTTTATCAGCAGCATTACCTGTGATAAGAACTGTTAGGCATCCTTTCTCATTAGGATTAATTTGTTGGTAAACAGTTTTGCCACCTTTTCTTGCCAATATTTTGTTTCCTTTGAAGATAAGTAAAAATGCAGTCTTCTGCATTAAATACTCGATTTGGATCAATAAGAACCTCCTCATAGTTGTTCTTTCTAAATTAATTGTTCTCTCTAAATAAATTATACACTTCACTGAACCATTTTTGAATGGCTTCTTTTGTTACCGCTGACTTGTAGATGTTAGATTTTGAGCAACTCTTTCTTATTTTGGGATTTCTGTTTAAGAATCCAGTAAAGCAAGTTCTTCCTGGCTTGTCATTATTAAAGGGATTCTGTTTACTCAGTTCCTTCATAATAATAATAATAACTTCATAATAATGATAACTGGAACGGGGACCACTAACACGGTCCGTGCATCCGGGACGTCTGGGGGCAGATGCGGCAATGGGAATGACTGGAAAGTATACAAGGAGCTAACTAAATGGAGAGTGAGCATAATGGAGGGTCAATCACCGACGGTGGAAAGCCTGGAGAGAGTCATTAAAAAAGCGATGAAAGGAGGCAAGATTGGTCGCCAAGATGTCAACAGGATGCCATATTGGTGGAATACGGACATCGAGGCACTAAGAAATGTATGTATAGCAATGAGAAGAATGTTAACAAGAGAACGAGGCAGAGCAGGAATCAATCCTGACGTCATCGAGGAGATCGAGGAAGAGTACCGCGCAAGGAAGAGGGAACTGTACAGGAAAATTCGTACAGAAAAAAGAAGGCACTGGAAAGAGCTGTGTGAAAAACTGAATAAGGACATCTGGAGTCAGGGATACAAGATTGTTATGAAGAAGTTCCATGCGTATCCTCCTTACGAAATGCCTATGGACAAGAAGCTTAAGGTAACAAGAGAGCTCTTTCCGGAAGGCAGATATAATGGTGTATGGAGGGATGAAGGAACTGAGCGGTCTGTACCTTTTACCATGGATGATCTTGTCGAGGCCTTGGATTCACTCAAGACTCGTAGGTCCCCCGGACTGGACCAGATACCACCTGAGGCGGTGAAGGGTCTAGGACGGGTGGAGCCTGCGTGGCTTCTAGAACATATGAATGCATTGCTGGAAGCACAAACCTTTCCTGAGCCTTGGAGGACATCGAGGTTAATACTGATTCCCAAAGCTAGGCAGAAGTATCGCCCCATCTGTCTTCTTCCATGCATCAGTAAGCTATATGAAAGGATGCTGCGAGTACGCATAGACGACATGATTGAGAGGTCAGGTGGTTTATCTCGGAGGCAATTTGGTTTTTGTAAAGGGAAAAGCACGATTGATGCAATCATGAGTGTACTCGAAGCATTGCGCAACAGAGGGAATGAACATCGCTGGGCGGCCCTGCTGTTGTTTGATGTTAAGAATGCATTCAATACGCTGCAGTGGAACGAGGTAATGAAGGCAATGGAGGAGAGAGAATGTCCTGGTTACCTGATGAATGTTGTGGCGGAGTATCTGTCCGAGAGAAGGATTATGGTGGAAAAGGGCACGATCGTGGACGTGACGGCCGGGGTACCCCAGGATCTGTCTTGGGCCCGACGCTATGGAATCTGGCATATGACGGGGTTATGCACTGTGAATACGGAGGGTACAACCCCCTTCGCATTCGCGGATGACCTCGCTGTACTGGTAGTAGCCCGGGATGAGCCAGATCTCAAATACCGGGTTCGGAACGCAGGTAATGTTGTAAAGAAATGGATGACGCAGCACGGACTAAAACTTGCGACAGAGAAAACCGAAGTCATCATTCTGAATTGGACAAGGAACAGGCAAGCTGTTAAATTAAAATGTGCGGGAGTATGTCTAACACCCAAGAAACAAGTAAAGTATCTAGGAGTGACATTGCACCAGAATGGAAAATGGGGGGAGCACGTTCGGGAGGTGGTCCGAAAGGCTGCGAATAGTGCGGCTGCGTTGGGGAGAGTGATGCCAAACATTGGAGGACCCAAATCCGAAAGGAGGAGGGTCTTACACGGTGTTGTACAGTCTATCGTCCTCTACGCGGCACCAGTCTGGAGCGAGACGGTAGAGATAACGGCCTACAGGAGTCTTATGAAACGAGTAGACAGAACAAGTCTGTTGCAAGTGGCATGCGTCTATAGGACTGTGTCTGCGGCAGCCTTATGGACCATCACTGGATGTATTCCGTTGCATGTTTTGGCGGTGGAAAGAAAAAAGCTTTATGAGAGAAGAGGCCCAAACCTTACTGTGGCTGAGAGAAGACAGGTAAGGGAAAGGTCAGTTGTAAGATGGCAAGAAGAATGGAACAATACGGAGGATGTGGCACAGTGGACGAAAATGCTGAACCCGAACATAAAAGCTTGGGTGGACTGTGGCCACAGGCGACTGGATTATTTCCTGACGCAGGTGCTCGCAGGACACGGGTGTTTTAGGGCCTACCTTTATAGGATCGGAAAGGCTGATACAGATGAATGCCTATATTGTGGATACTCGTACACTGTGACACATAAGATGTTTGATTGTAGCAGATGGATAGTGGAACGGAACAGAATGGAGAGAGAGATAGGTGTGAATTTTGTTACAGTGAGAAATGATTGAGAGAATGATTGAAAATAAATTAGGTTGGATTAACATGCGCAGTTATATTCGTACAGTGATCAAGAAAAAGGAAGAGGAAGAAAGACAGTTAGACCAACGGCAAAGGTAGAGTGAATGATGCTGAAAGGTGAAGTTAGAACAGTGGGTCACACTTTTTGGAAACAATTTTTTTTTTGAACTAATATTAAATTTTTTATAAAGTCACTCAGGGTATACCATACTTCTTTGCTGTTGTTGAAATGGCCTTTCCACATAGTACTTCCTCAATATCTTTCTCCATAGATTGTTTTATATATCGGTTATGTGTTTCTGTATAACATTTGTCCTTTTATAGAAGGCATATTTTTAAGTGAAAATTTAAATTTTTGTTTTAGTAGTTGTCACCCAAAGTGTTTCAATAGTTTAATTTATTAAAATTTATAAGTATAAGTATACAGTATATACAATGACAATCACAATTAAATGTTTTTACAATCTCAGTATAAAATTCTTAGTAGGTGATACCAATGTCAATTACTAGTATTTTTGTGTATTTGTGTGTTAGTACTTGACACCAAGCCTAAGTTTTGTTTTAAGAATAATAGTTACGGAAAAGATATATCGATAACAGTAGTTAACTATGATGGTAATAATTACGTTAAAAATAATTGGAAAAGCTTATTACTTATGCTTAAAACGGAAAATGTCAACTACTGGTACAGTGTCAAGTACTAGTGCATTTACCTTACGTGTTTTAAACCGTTGATCATACAACCTTCTTTTATTATTTTATATTATCCCTCAACTGGTATAGCGATTTAATTATCTTTTTAAGGTATGCTGGGTCAATTGTGAACCACGAATAACAAACCTACACGGTTTTAAATAGGCAAGATATGTTATTTTTTAATTAGATTATTTTATTTATTAAACCTTTAGAAAACCTATAAAACAAGAAAATAAATGAAAGCAGACTATGTACTTAATTATGAATTATTCATAAACATTGTATTTCTTGTACGGTTATACAAAAACTAACTAAATAATAATTGAAATATATTTTTTTTAATTTAAATTAAAGCGTCTCGGTATCTATGGGCCATTGACACTGGTACAAAATTGATTACAATATGTTTGTAAACATACACAATACATATACAATCTGCTTATATACAAGTTAGGATACATTAACAACATCTAATATAATTACACTAAGTGGTAAAGGTGACAGTCTTTTAGAAAACGAATTATGGCACTGTGCATGTTTGTAGAACCGAGTAGATCACTTAAATTATTTTGAAAGTTGTGGTAGTCTCTCTGAGGTTTGTAGTGGACACATTCTAGTAATATGTGCTGGACTGGTAAGGACTCATTACAATTTCACAGCGACGATGGTTTTCAGAAGAGAGCAGATATCCATGAGTAAGACGAGTGTGACCTATTTCGAGCCTTCTGATAATGATATTGTCTTTTCTGCTCATTTTGAGGCATAGTGATGGAGGTAACAGTTGGTTGAATTGTGCGTAGTTT